ATAAAAAGATTTCAAGTATCACTAATTAAATGCATCTCGCTCTGAAGTCAATCAAATTTCTCAATGGTAGAAGTGTAGAACTTGTACCATTTATGTCAACATATGAGCCAAATACTTGACATTTTACAATCTGAAGTTACTGGTTTCTCTGTTCTAAATTGTTACCAGAATAACTTGATCTGAATGCCTATACATTAAGCCAATCAATTTTTTAAAGGTTACAGCAGCTATGACTTAGAATAGATGAGGGATATCTTTCCATATATTGCAATATTAACTAATTAAATTATTAAAAAAGTCAATATGGTTAAATGCACTGATCTAACCCTATGTACTAAATTTCCACATGAAATAATTGAATATTGTCGGAAACAAAACCAGAAATAGGTAGTAGTTTGAGCTCATAAAGAGTGTTAGTTCATCTATATTTTCATAGTAACTGGTTTTGCAGTACAACAACAACTTGCAATTATGTAAAATGGTGCTCAATCAGATAATGTCAGAAATAACTTTTATATGATATTCATAGAAGCATGTCGGATATTTCTTCAAAATTTTCATTTTTCATGTAGTTATTTGAAAACTCAAATATTCTAAAATACTACAGGGATACATCACAGATACTTATTGAGAGAAAATATCAAATTATGATAAAATTATGATATTACAACATTCAGCATGAGTTCTTGGTTTCTTGGCAATATTCTTTTGAGTACCATGCTACTTGATATAATTTCTTCCAATGACATGGTTATGGATTTAATTACTTGTTATTATTATCAATATAGAATTTATGTATTAACACAAATGTCAAGCTTTGTCATATATGTTATTGGTCTTTGTGCCATACTATACTGTATCCTATTTTTTGTGGATATTTCCATATTGGCATATCTGTATCATGTTGCATTGGTATCTCATGATCACATATGTGACTCATAGTGACCATGTTAAAGAAAATTCATGATCTGAACATATACATGCCTAATGTCATTGCAACAATATGGCCAAGTTTAACTAGCTAAAGATGTGTAATAGACAAGTCAATGGTTTCTAGATCAGCTCTTTGTTTGCAATATCTAAAATCAATCAAGAAATGTCATGTATCAATGTTAACAATAAAGCAAAGTCCAAGGTCACTAATGAGATCCCCAAGTACCTTACGAGACGATGCTCATTAAATATCATTCGGGCACCTGTGGTGGTTGATCTTTTTGTAGACACAATAGATATGCTAATTCATGACTGGAATGACATCAGAACTCTTAGATTGGGCTGACATGAAGGGCCACTACTAGTTACTAAATAACCTTTAAAAAAAAAAACTCTTTCTAGTTTCACATTACAAATTACTTAACTTCTGCTACATATTAAACATCTCATAAAGAGAAAATAAATCCAACATGGTTGAAGGACTAAGACTTCCAAGGTTCATTAAATAACCTTAGAAAAAAAACTTTTTCTAATTTCACATTACAAATGACTTAACTAGTTAACTTGTGTTACATATTAAACATTTCATTAAGAGAATAAATCCAAGATGGAAGAAGATCAAGACTTCCAAGGTTCAAAAAGAAGGAAGTCTCGTGTGACTATCAATTTTTAATTTGAGCGTGAATCTTCTTTGCGGATGACAACAAAAAGGTTCACTAAGTATGTGATATCTCCATCTCATGAGCCAGATTTGTTTCTTAAAGATATGATTCCGTAAATAAAGTAGAAGCACTAAATTAAGAAACTACTGGCACTTTGATGGTTTGTCAGCACGAGACCTAACTTTGACCATACCAAGTAAACCTGAAAAAATATTTAGCAAGGTTGCTTTATATTTCTCATACATAAATGAAACAGTTACATGATCAATCATTGCAGTCGAATGATGGATAGTTTATTTTGAGTGTAGTGTCACTCAACATTGTCTAGTACTATTAAATTATTAGAGAGCACAGGAAAAGGATTTATCAGAATTATAAAGATACAAAAGTCTAGGTTAGAAGCCATGGAATCTGGTACAACTAAGAGATATATGGTTGACTCTATAACATGGTGGAGGCAAAAAAAAAGAAAAGAAACATCATACCACAAAATAAATTGTAAAGTTGTCCTTCTCTTTCATGTAACTTGACTTTAATCTAAACCGAATCATGTAGATAACCCAAAGAGTAGTTGCAAGCGTAGCGCAATCTAGCACTGTGTGTATGTCATATTCCATGACAAAGCTGCAGTACAGTCTGACAGCTAAAAACAAAGCTGTCAAATATTGAGTCTTAAGCGAAAGTCCTGCAACGTCAAAAATTTATCAATTAAAAAAATTATCAATTTAGACAAACACATGATGTGCTGTTTAATATTGCCTTCTAATTTGAGTGCACTTAAACAAAGAATTGTTTAAAAAATCAAAATACATCTCAACTTCACTCAGAAACAAAGATCAATCATGTTTGAGATATACTTATCTGCAACCACTAAATGATTTTTTTTTTTTTCTTACTGATTGGTTCCACCTCATGCAATCTACCCAACATATACTAGGATATAAACTGCCAACATATGCATAATGGACTCCCAGGATCAAAGTCCAGCACCAAGTTTGCTCACTTGTCAATGAAAAGAAATGGAATCTGTAATGTAGACTTCTTGATCAGTCAAAATAAAGAAAGAAAGCTTATTATGAACTACAATGTCTTTCTGGTTGAGTCACGTGAATTCTCACTTTTAGTAGTTGACTCCTTAGATGATCCTTTTAAGTTTTCACTTGTTTCAAATGTTGATAACAATCCTCACTAAATTGATACACAAACCACTGCTATGAAGTTTCACAGGCAAAACCATTTCCTCTGGATGCAGTTTTCACATGCTTTAATTCTTGATTCACAAACGATATCATGCATATCTCGTTACTCAAAAAACTTATTGTTATGATCCAACCCCATGGTGAGATATCTAGCACTGCATGATAGGCCTAAGACCACCATGGCCTAAAATAGTTACTAGTGGTAGACCAGTATAACCTCAGAAACTAAGTCAATTCATCTCCCATATCAGATATGAGACCAAACTAGGTGTCATAATTTTTCTCACTCTTCGTCATGGTCAATACTGGCGTACGTGACTTACGTTGTGATGTGGTCTCCAACCCCATTCATAAGTGACTGCTTTCCCACTTCCCTACTTGGGCCGCTTCAACATGCACAATACTATGTCCACTCAAAGATCATTTTTCACGATCGGACCCGCCGATGTAATAGCTGAACTATTAATTTGATTGACTTGAACCACGAATTAACAATGCTTAAATCCAGACTAATAAAGATAGATCCACTTAGCCATGTAACCCACAACTGGTTGTCACACATAATTCCTTGAGGTTTCGAAATATACACCGCCTATTAGCAAAGCTTTCCTGACCCTCATGATCTGCCAAATTTTAGGCAGGTAGAATGGCTATCATTACCTCCTCCAAGCTTCAGACTGAAACCCTAGCTTTATCAATAAATTGGTCATCTGCTATGCATTTCAAATTATCGTGAGTAGTATATCTCTAATTATATTTAGTATGTCCAACACCTACCAACTCACGGCTTCGAGATCGCACGGATCAAACAAAAAGGAAAGTGACATAGAGGGAGAGGGGAGGGAGGGAGGGCGCACCGGCGCAAGTCCGCTCCTTGACGAGCTTATAGATGAGGACGGAGATGCCGAGGGCGTGCGCGGCCTCGGCGACGACGAAGAGCTTGTCGTGGTCGTGGACGATGAAGCGAAGGAAGACGAGCGCCGCCATGCCGGCGATGACGGAGAGAGAGGCCTTCACCTTGGGCGACCGCCGCCTCACCCATCCCACCACCGCCCTAATCGGCCGCGCCCGTCCCTTCCTCGTCTTGCTGTCCATCTCTCTCCCTCTCCCTCTCCCTCTCCCTCTCGAGCAATCCGATCCCACTAAAAGAAAACGAGAGACGTTGGTCGAGGGAGTGGGATGGGGGATTGAAGAAGGCGGGGAAGACAACTCGAAGATACGATGCGGTGCGTTCGCATCACATCAGCAACTCGCCGAGCGACTAAACGTGGATATATGCATCCCTTTAATGCTCCCAATACGTGCATCCTTTCCACCAAATCGGGATGATTTTTTTCTTCTTTTATTTCTCAATGGATAAATTTTGAAGGCGAGATTGGAGTATTTATAGATTAAGTAGTGAGCATATTAAATTAATATTTTTATTATATCCTAATCTATGACAAAATATCACGTATAATCTCTAAAAAAATTAAGTATTTTTTATTCATCCCTTAACATTTTTGTTTATATTTATATATACACACACCTCAAAACTTGGTAGTTTTATCTTTATTTTTAATCAGATATATATATATACTTAATATGTAAAATCTAAATATTTTTAATATATATATATATATATATATATATATTTAGAGAGTTAAATATGTTATTCCAAACTTTGAAACTATAGGTTATGCAGAACTCGCTGCAAAAAGAATAACATATATTTTATTGCAACACATAATATGTCGATAGGAAGTCACATATATAGTTTAGGATTATAAGAACATCTCATGTATCATAATATGAGGACATGAGGCACCCAAACAAAGTAGGCTTATAATAACATCTCTTGCATCACATTTCTTGTACAATAATCATGAATACCTATTAAAGCTCACAAAACCTACAATAAAACACCCATCCATAAACTACTCATGGATAAAAGATGAATGGGGATTATGGATAAGATTTTTAAAAAATAATCTAAAATTTCCTAGCAGATTATGAAATCTTAAGCCCATTCTACCTTTCTTGGACTTCTTGTAGATTTCTGGGAATGACTGACTTCAAAAAGATGACCTTTGAAGAAACATTCTTCATCAGTCTAGTTGAAAGTCCACATTCAAGTTGAAGAAACAGAAAGGCTTGAAAGTCCACATTCAAGTTGAAGCTCATGGAAGACCACATATCATTTACCACAAACCTACCGCTGAACAAATTTGAGACACAAAAAACGATAAATAATCTGTAATGATTCAGGTACAATACCATATAACATGAAACATATCCAATGACAATGGTAAACAGAATGAGAAAATATGATAATTATTGGAAGTTTCAAGTACTTCATGGTGGACACGCTTAGCGGATGAGAACATACAGCTTAACTGAACAGGAATCAATAAGCCATCATTATGATCTCATTTGGTGTCTATGCAGGCGATTAATGTGACACCAAATGAAAATCTTCTACTATCTTCTCAAAAGTTGCATCTGAACTTTCCTGATTCATCATTGTGCTCTCCTTCTGAAATTTCCTGGGTATAAGACACATTGCAAGGTGAGTAGAAGAATTAGCTTGCAACCTAACATAACAAGTAAAAGATCTATCAGCAAAGGAACTGCATAAACAATGAATTAAATAGTTGTCTGCCCCAAGGTTCCCGAGTAAAGAAAAACCTGAGTCTCTGTAGCAAGAGGAATGAATTATCACATAATAGACTACTCACCATTGTAGCATAAGGAAAGTTAAATTCCAGGACTGTTGAGTGCCATCCACTTGCACTGCTCATTCATGGCCAATAATTGTGCCTCTTTCTTGTCTAACAAAGTTCTTAGCCTCACATTCTCCTCGATGAGCTTCTGAACTTCAGCTTCCTTTTTAACCTTCTCGTTCTCAAGATGAGTGGTCTCAGCAACTAGCCTATGCATTGAACAAATTTAACTTAACTGTAAAGTTGAATGATAGTCTCCACACTAGAAAAATAACTAAATTGTAGATAAACTCCAAGGAAGAATACATTTAATGCATTGTTAGTCTGCTAGTTCTGTTTAGTGATGAAGCCTTTGGCACGAAACAAGAGAGATGATCTTATATATTTATACACGTCCAGTTAATTTAAGAATAGGAAGATGCTACCTGTCAAGAAGCTTTTCAACAGTTTGAAATTGTCTCTCTGATGACATAAGCGATTCTCTGACACTGATAAGACTGCTAACGAAGGACCTCAATGAGTCAAAATCCTGCTTCACACGACGGAGCTCCTGCTCATTCTCAGCAGCTCTCTGTCGTTGTCTTGATGTCTCTTCAACCATATCTGTGACCTTCTGCCGCATTTCATTCAACAGAGTGTTTGTGCCCAGTGCAAACTTTTCCATCTCTTCGACCTTTAGTGTCATGCTTTGAATTTGGAGAGTCTTTCTTTTGTTTTCTTCTAAACCTAACTTTACTTTTTCTTTCTCGGTAGCAGCTTCAGTTTCTGCCCTGATAGCCCTCTTAATAAGAGATTCCATAACTTCTGCCACAATACGAGTTGACTGAAGTGTTTCACTAAAATATCCACCAACATTAGCATCAAAAGGACCATATTTAAGATTACTTGCCAACTGTGACATCTCATCTGAACTTTCATGTGATGAAAGATCAACATCTGTAGACCACTCCGACAATGGTAGACCATGCTTGTCAACAAGTCCTATTCCCTCTTGATGCTTAATACCACATGAAACACAAGCTAAATGTGGAATTGCCATAATTCTTGCTTTTGATTTCAGATAGGTCAGCATTGTTGCGGTAGTTTTGACTCTACGCCAGAGGAGTTCTAAATCCTTAGTATCATCTTCCGCACATTTCATATCAATCTTTACCTCCATAACTTTCTCTTCCAATTTTTCAACTTGAGATTGGTGGCATTCAAACTCATGCTTCCATTTGGTGTTTTTCTGAATGAGTTGAGACTCTAGTGTACCCTGTTCCTTCTCCTTATCCATAACCACTCTCTGCTCTAACAATAAATCAGAGCTGTTTATTTAAATAAGAAAAATGATTATCTTCTTAGACAGACTAATAATTAAAGAGCAAAAAAAAAAAAAACTTGCTATTCTGCCTTTATGACACGAATTATCATGATTGATGAACTATCTCTAACTTATATTTTCAGTTGAACACTTTGCCCCCGAAAGATCACATACAAATCAAATCCAAATACTTCAGAAAGCAAGCCAATTTGGAAGGTCAAATCCCCCAAAAGAAAAGAAGCACAGAAGTACATTTCACTGAGGAGGAGGCTCATAACAACATAATACTCAGCTTCCAAATAAGTCCTCGATAAGCCTAGGGTAGATATTAAACCAACAACGAGAGCTTGTTCTCTTGGATCGAAATCTTCAATGCATTGATTGTAACTACCATGCAAGAACTAATATGACTTGTATGCGCAGGGACCTATAAGAAGAAGGATGATTTGTGCTTGACAAGCAAGTACGCGAACATAGCGAATCGGTCATAAAACAGAAGTAATATATGCAATTTAAAGAAGAAGTCTTTCGGACCAAAATTTAGTCGGAAAAAGAGACTGCATCAAGAACAATCGATTTTCCATTACGAACGATCAAGTTGGACAAAAAGATGCTTCTTTGCCAAACCACAAGCATGCATCAGGGACCAACATCACGGATCAAAGACTCGATCGCAAGGGAAAGAATCTCGATTCTGAAGAACCCTAACTCCGAATCCCAAAAACCGATCTTAACAGCACAGTATCGACGGATCGATGGGGGAGAGAAGAAGGAATTGGTTGGGGTTTAAAACCCTACCTTCTCGATCGCAGGCGGGAGGGAAGGGATCGCACTCCTCCCTTCTGCTGTCGCTGCCGCCCCGCTTTCCTCCCTCTCCGGTACGGGGATGGCTTCGGCGAATGAAGACCAAAGCAGTGTCCTTTTCCTTATTGGGCCACAAGTGGGCCCCGACAAAGGACCGGAAGATTGTGGCTATATTATTGATTTATTCTATTTGATTCCAATTTTCCCCCTATTTTTGCCTATCAGCCCCTATGCTTTTTTAGATTCCCATATTTTTGTATTTTCATATTGGTCCCTGAAATCTAAAAATTGTATCTTCCTTTTCAGAAATATCATTCATCAAACCACCAATACTTTATAGAAAATTGGCACTCCAAGAAAATATGACTTAATAAAATTAGTAATCATATGACAAAAGAATTTATTTTTTATTTGTTCATGTATTTCTTTAATTTTGTAATTGTATTTGTTACTTGGGTTGACTTATATATTGTATTTCTTGCTACCATTACACCTTAACCATTCGGAAAATAAATATTTACATATCACTCTTAGTTATAAAGAGCGATTTATTGCTTATTTTATATAACAAAATAAATCTTCTTATGTATGTGAAATCATGAACAAATAAAAATTCTCCGTTAACACGTTTAAGATATATATATTTGTGTGATCGTATCTTTCGATATATATGTGAAATCATTAGTGAGATTAAAATTATAAAGAATAGAGAAGGAATCTGTATTTCTATGTGCATATTTCTCACATCTTAAGAAGAGTGAGTGAGATGGAAGATATCGAAGGAAGGGGGCTTCCCAAAAGTGTTATAAGAGGTAAGCCTAAAGGATGGTGACACATGACTATAGGGACAAAGTGAACATACGATAAAGAAAAATAGGGTTAATTACACGTTATCACCATTGTTAGCTATCATCAGTATTACTGTCTTTATACTTTACAAATTATATTTACATCTTTATAGTTATAAAAATAAAAATAATTGATAACGATAAATAACGATACCATTGGGTCAGTTTGCATCTACATCGATGCTAATGCAGATGTCGAACAATCCTTTCATCGTTTGACAATTACGTTGGTGTCGACGCATATGTAGAGTGACCCTCACCTCTCGTCGTCGCTTTCCTCATTCACAACAGTTACTTGTTCTTCACCATTAATTAAAATATTTAAATTACTTTTTTATTTTTTATGTTTATATTTTTATTGATAAATTCGACGATATTATAGTAAATAAATTTAGATGTTTCACTTTTATAATTATAGAGATGTTAGAATCGAGATATTAAAAATAATTAATTATAAAAAATATATATAATTAATCCATAATAAAATAAAACATGTCTTCTTATAATTAACTATATGGCAACGGGCGGGCCAGGGAGATTTTATTATAACTAATAAGGTAAGATCACATGAGCAATTACGATATAAGCTTGGCTTCATCGATAGACGATGGCATGTCCTATGTCGCTCACGTACAACAAGATGGACGCTAGGATGATGATGATGATGATGATGATGTCGAGACTGCTTGTGATAACAATGTCAAAGCTGAGGTCACCGTGTGCTATTAAATTGATACTATATGTTCTTTTCTCATCATTTTCATGCCTATCTTTCTTTTTTTCTTTCTAATTTTAGCTAACATTTATATTTTTCCATTTCTAAACTGGATTAAAATTATTCTGTATTTAATTTTATGTATTTTATAAAATTAAATTAGCTACTAAGTAAGAGTGTGCATGCATATAAAATATTCAAATAAATTATAATAGAAGGGAACATGTATTTTCATGTGTTTTGTAACTTGTTTTTAAAATATAGAAATGCTGATGAGGTGTTTTTAACCTCTTAAAAAATATAATTATTGATAAAATAAATAAATAAAAAGTTGGAACATTTATGGATACTAAAAACTACTTACTCAAGGAGCGAATGGATCTCTTCATCACTTTCTCCTGTACAAAACTAAGAGTATTTCCATTTCCTGATGTTTGGACGGCTGGTGATGCGCGTCGGATGGTGCACTGATGGGCCGCCGGTGATGATGAGGCGGTCGCCTTAGGAGAAGGCAACGTGGAGGCTCCCGGTGCTGATGCGCCCGCAAGCGGGGCACGAATCAGCGGCACCGGCGGCCGCGCAGTCGGCGCAGAGGGAGAGGTGGCGGCACGGGAGCACCACAACCGCCGCGTTTCGCAGCCGGCACGCGCGGCATGACCCCTGGGCTGCCGACTCTTGGTCGATCAACGAGGCAGAGCCGCTCTCGCCCTCGCCCTCCCAGGCGGCCGCGGCCACCTCCGTGGCCCGCTGAAGCTGCGCCTGTAGACCCGCGACCGCAGTCTGGGCCGCCACCGCTTTGGCTTGCCAGGAAAGCGTCTCGGCTCTCAAGCGGGCGATTAACCTCTCGAGCTCGGCGCTCTGCCTTGCGGCCTGCTCCACCTCTGCTTCCTTCGTCTTGATCCTCTGCCGTGCCGCAGTTGCCGCGGCGCTCAGGAGAGCCTGGTAGTGCGATCGCCATTTCGCCACCAATGTTCTACGAAGAAGTTCTCCCTGCGATACTCTGTTACTTCGATTCTCTTCTACGGAGAGGTCGTGGACGAGTTAACCAAAACGGAGAGGAGAGACGACAAGCACCTGCGCGCGTAGGTAGCCATCGATTTCGTCTTGGTGCTGCTTAAGGTGAGGGGCGAGTTTCTCGAAGAGGGCTGGGGAAGCAGGAAGAAGGGGGTTGCAGGCGCGTTGCTGCTGCTGCTGCTCGCCAAAGGCGAGTTGGAGGCCGGTGGAGGTGAGGGGAGCAGCGGATTCCGATCGAAGATGCGCGAGGCTTATCAACGTTGGCGGAAGACTGCTGGGTCCCAAGACCAAGAGATTACTAATACTGTCATTATCTTGCACCGGCGTCGACCCGATTGCCACCGCCGCCTCCTCTCTTCCTCGCTTCCTCGGGTTCGCAGTCGCTCCTGTTCCGCCATGAAACCAATCAAATCCCAATCTTGTTCCGGCAACGGAGCACAAGAAACAAATGGGAGTACAAGATTAACACTGACCGCCACCGGAGAACATCACCGCCGATGGGTCCAAGAAACCAGGCAGGTGTTGGGAACAATCGACGCCCGTCCTCTCCTCGCCTCTGCACGCATTCTGCGTCCGTAAAGCACGAAACTTTCCAACGGGGAGAACAAAAAGGCTCGAATCTTTGGGACGGAGGCGACCAAAAAATCACATTACCGGAGAGGGAAATAAGAATTACCCGTTCAGCAGTGGAACACCGGACGGACGCTGCGCTCGAATCACCATGTCCCTTGCGCCAGAGACCCGTCGAGAGAGAGAGAGAGATTTGTAACGCCCGCTCGTCCGGATTCAATGACGCCAAAAGAGAAGGCAGGCGAAGTGAGGGGGCGGCGAGAGGGATGCGCTGGAGAGACGGAGGAACGAGTCCAAGATTGGAGCGGCCTTCGGCGCCTTCCGTCCTCTGAGACACCGCACACGCAACCGCAACGCTTAAAACGACCCAACGCCCCGTCCGCCCCCTCCCATTGATCGAATCAAAGGCTTTCCTTGATTGCGAATGCCGATACAGCTCTCGTCGCTATATATCGCCCCCCCCACGAACGGATCTCGATGCACTCAGATGACGATGAATGCATGCATGCATGGAAATGAACAGTTCGCGGAGAAATATGTGGCATCGTGTTCTTGCTGATTTATATTACCATTCTATTTTTCTTGTCTAAATTAAGTTCCCCAACGTCCGTTTCTCTTCTTCTATCTTGGAAAGCATCAAACCATTTGATTTTGGCATTTCATGTTTCCTGTTATAACGCTACAATTCTTGTAAAGCAATCATCTCTGTTTATTCTTTGTACAAATTCGATCTCAATTATCTCTGTATATAACGCTACGATTCTTGTGAAGCAATTAAGATTGTTGCCATTTTCAAGGTTTTTGTGAAGCTTAACTTTCTATTTATCCTTTGATTTAATCTGTTAATAATCATTTTTTAGGGTTCCATTCAAATTGTACTTATTACTTTGATTTGAGCAAATATTTTCCTTTATTATTTTTATTCATTTTGATGGGTTTATCGGTCGTTTGACACATCAGAGTCAACGGCTTTGACCCGGAGGTTTGACCAAGTCCATGTCTTTGACTTCTTGTTCGAAATATACACTTTTTTTTTTGCCAGAAAGAACTCAGTTTCATTCCCTGTTCTTATATTTCTTAAGATCAAAACCATGGAAAAATAATTTGACTTCAAGTTGAGAGTTAGAACATGAAGTGAATCAAAATCTATAAATTAGTATCGAGCGGATCAGCTGTCTGTCACCACCAATCTGTGATCTGTATCGAATTCAAATATTTTCCATGATCATTCGGATTCGGAATATCGTTCTTAATGATTTGACTATTACAGTTTTGATGCTATAGAAGACGATCTATATCTTTTACATATTGTTTCATCTGTTCTTCGTATCCTCCCTTCAAATGCATTCCCCTTATATTATCAGCAGGTTTCTCAATCCGATATACTCATCTTGCCAAATAATGTCTCCACATTTCTCTCGGATTCATTCAGCTCGGCAAATTCCAACTCTGGTCAACCAACAATCTAAAACTACACTGATCAGTATCTATCTAAATCGAGAGGGGGACCTTAAGGTTGGGGATCGTCGAAAGTTATCAGGATTGATTTGGTCACAGTTTGCAATCGAGAATGCAATCCATTTCATGTGTTCAATGCATCTACTTCTCCTCTTCGTACTGAAATGTATGCAATTGTTCCTTCGTATGAAATGTCAGAGAAAATAAACAAAGAAAGATATGGAACACATGTATACATATCCTTGGGATTCAGACATGTTATATGAAATGTCTTCTCTCTCATGACAGCTAAAATATTTGGATTTGTGGAAGATTATCGAGTTCATCTAACTTGAGATACAGTTCTAAGAAATCCAGAATTCACTTCTATGGAAGATGGATGACAATGGAGGATTTGTAATCATTGGCTTCTATATCTGTGCTTATAGTTCTTTGGTGGCCACTCTTGTCCAATTGATATATGATTTCTCCGACCACAGAATAATCTCTACGATAAATGGCAAAGGATCAGAGAAGATTAGACGCCATTAACATGTAGCAAGTCCCTGAAATCAAACTACAGAACCCTGGAAACTAATTGATCTATCAAGGAACGATAGCTTAACGAAGATGGATGGAGTCTCCTTTAAATGCCATAAAAAGCACAATATAGACACAACGATCTCTCTACAGGAGCACAGAGACCGAACAACTGTGCGAAGAGTTCATAGAATGAGACTGAAGAGAGAGAAAACACCATTGTTTTCTCCCGAGACTCCTGCAAGAAGGACCAAGAGAGAGGAAACGTAGAACTTGCAGGAGCAGTGCTTCCGCATTGAGGATACCAGACGCCACACTGCAACACCAATTGCAAGTTTCGACTAGGACCAGTTTCAGAAGAAGAAGAAGAGAGTACAGTAATGGCGGTGAGCTGAGATGGGTGGGGAATTGAAGGTGGTGGATCCCAAATAGATTCTAGGGTTGAGATGAGTCAAGTGACTATAGAATCTTATGAAATATTTACTATATATTCATTGAGATTGTTTATTTGATTCTAATATTTTGATATGGCTATACAATGTTATGATATATTTACTATATCCTTTTTATGAGCGTAAATGCTGTGTCATTAGTGCATTCTTAAAGTTGACCATCTTTGTTTAAAGGTCAAACTCCAAGAAGAAAGGGTCAACGTTTCCCTCCCTATCTTTTGCGCCATCCCTTCCTCCCTCAACATGGTCATGGACACCAACTCACCATCCCCAATGTACATGTAGCGTTATGTGGTGGTCTTCTCCACCTCACCTCCTCTCCTTGGCAGTACATTCCCACACGCTAACACCGCCAGCCACAGCGTCACACGAGCAAATCAACCATGGGTGGCTGTGCGAGCAAACCGAAGGACGTTGACGGCCAGGCTCCCGGGATCCCGCAGGGCAACCTCCCTCTCACTCCCGACGCCGTGGAGGCCATCGAGGTAAGAAGAAGTGGATGCTCTGCGCTCGATAGCGTCGTCTCTTCTCGTTCGATTCTTCTGTAATCTCGTGCACGTCACCTGCACGCAGGTCCCCGTCGAGCCGGAGATCAAGGAGGAGGAACCCACGCCCGGCGCCGAGGAGAGCGAGGAGGTCAAGGCCGATGAGAAGGCAAGCGAGAGCTGATGGTGTTGGTGACGGCTGTGCACGACAAGACGAGTAGTTTGTTTGTTTGCTGTGATATATATATATATATATATATATATATATATATATATATATATATATATATATATATATATATATACACACACACACACACACACACAAACACACACATACATTCGACGAGTGAATGAGGCGGGCGGGACGCAGGCGACGAGTACGCCTTCGAAGCCACTTTGCGGCATCCGAAGCCTAGTCCCGCCGCAGCTCGCACATCTCATCCATAGAAGGTAATCGTCGCTGCTGTTACCTTTTATCTTGGATCACCTCGTCTCGACGTCGATCGCTCTCTCTTTGATGGTTTTCTGGGCGATTAAGCCACTCTCGACCTCTTCGCCTTGTTCAAACCACCGATCTGCATCTTAGAGATGCGATCTTTCTGGCTTCTTGGATGAAAGAAGCGTGATCTTGTGTTAGGGTTTCTGATTACCCTCCGCTTTCTGGGTTTTCGGATTGTCCATTGATTTCGGGGAGAAGGGATGCGAGAGTTAGGAGGACATGGAGAAGAAGGTTGCGGCTAGGGTTTGTTCTCTTCGATTGTTCTAGTGCCCTCGTTACTTTGAGGGATTCTATCAAGAAAACGAGCTACCAAGGAAAGCGTTACAGTGTTGTTTCTTGAAGGATGATTTCTTGAATCGCTTGCGGTTTCACCATCCAAAAATTTTGGTTATCTTTTGTATTGTACGTTTTGTTAGCTTGGAAATTATAATTTCCATGGTATTATTGGAACAAGATCACCAGAAGCCCTTTTCTATGATCTCTGTATACGCACCTTGATGTAATGGGTTACCCTTCCTTGCATCTCAAAAAAAGAAACGAAGAGGAGGCTGTGGAACTGCTTGAATTAGGTTCCATACATTACACACGTAATTCTGTCAAGAGGTCGTGTGACTCAATAAATGGTCAAAGTTCACTTCTTATGGGCTCTAAAATTGAGAAAGAAAGGTGTTTGAGACGGTTCTTGATATGGGATTATAGCCTATTTTGGATGTTGTTGATCGTTGTTTGAACTTATTTTTCCCTTTGGTCCTGTAACGATGTTTGCTGCTCTGATCTATATCATTTTGAAATTTGGTTTTTATGTGGAACTATGTTTCCATCATATAATGATTTGAGATTTCTTCTCCTAGAGTCATCATTTCGTCTAGAATGTCAAAATAAGAAAGAAAAAAGATTCTTATGGGCATCTTTAGCAGATGTCTCGCCTATAATTTAATACTGACCTCTCAAGTACTGTAATAGAAGTGCATCTTCATTGTTTTTCGTATTCAGGGTATATTCATATTATTTCAACAGACAGTTAAATTTTGTTTTTGATTCACCCCACTTTTGCGTGCACTTGTTAGCTTAGTCAATAAAGATGAACAAAAATTAGGTAGGTTGCTGCGGAAGTGTTATTTACACATAATTCTATCTGCATTTGTAAAACCATATTTACAGTGAGAGAGAAAGAGGAAGAAAAAAAACTAAGGCCATTAGGCCTTGCAGAATTATATTGTTGAAATTTTGATAATACAATATACTACCACACATGATAATTAGGTGATGTAAACAAATCATGAAATGCACATTCAAGGTTCAATGCTGATACACGAGAAGTATTTCACATTTTTATCTATCCTTGTTTTCACTTCATCAGTTTGTAACACCATTTAAAGTTTCTACTTATGGCAGATTTCATGTGTATTATGGTATTCTGTAATTGAAAACCTTAGAGAGACTGAGTTCCTCATACTATACTTTGATTACCTCAACAGTTTGCTTTATGTTTTGATTCTATACTTTGATTGCCTTAACAATTTACTTTATGTTTTCATGATCCTTCTGAGAATATGTTTCTGATTTAAAGTGGCATTGTATACCATTGCTAATTCTACTATAAAGGTGGAAAATGGCTGGAATGACTGAAGTGCACAATGGGCATGCCGCATGCCATACATGCACTGCCTACTCAACCAAGAGGTCCTCCCCCACTAGCTCGCCTGCGTGAACCTGTGGACCGTGAAAAGGTACACCCTCTCATCTGATTCATCATAATTTCTTTGTCCCTCTGTGAGAATAATATCTTCTCAATTGAAATCTTTTTTTAGACCTATACTTATGCCTGTGTAGTACCTGACAACAGATAGTATTTTACATTTAATTTGATTCTCCTTTTTTTGCGGCTTTTAGGCAATGCTTAGTTTTCTTTGTAGCATGACTATACAATCCAAAAAGAATAAATATTAATTTTTGTAGCTTGAAAAAGAAAAAGGGAACAAAGAGAAAAATTGGCAGTGCTGTAAATCAGCTGTCAAATAATACTATTAGGAAGTTCTGGTGGCTAGAATCATCTTAGACTGATGAGTTCTGGCCAAAGATAAGATAAAAAGACAAGAAGAAACAAGAGAAGCTCTAGAATGGTGGGCTAAACTTGAAAATACAGCAAAGAAAATGCCTATTTGTGACCTAAAAGATCAATTGCAACTACAAGATTATAACATGTAGAACGGGTTCAGTTGACTAGCCCTATCTTTTTCTGTTCTCTCCATGATTCCTTTTTAAACATAACCTTTAAAATTGATCATCGACAACGTTTGTTGGTTATGATCTTGTAGTTACACTTTATACCATCTTGTTTTTGACGCAGCCCCTCACATACCCAATGGTTGAAACTACATGAGTATTCTATTTAACCTGCCACATCACCAATCTTCATCAAACGGTTCATGCTTTATTAGTTTGTATGGTCAATAACACATTGAGTTGCAAGGTCAACCATGCTTTATGGATTTGTATATTGCACAACTAGGAAATAACATGTTTAAGAAGTTAGTCTTGAGATGGATGTGCGGATTGATGAAAGATTAAGAAATATTTACATATACTCTAGATCAAGGTTATAAGTCTGGGTCTGGTACTGGTTCCGGTCATCTATGGGACCAATATTGTGCCGGCGGATTGGGCAATTTATTGGCCCGTATTGCTCAGTATCAGCTGTAAAATATATAAAAATAAATAAATACCGAATGGTCCTGGGTCGTATGATCCAATGCTAGTCCTTGCTTGGACCAGTAAATGTGCCACATCGATTATTGTATTTTCAAATTTCATGCCATCAGACTACAGGATTTTCATTTAAAAAAGCTTGGATTAAGTTGGGATTTGAGGTTTAAGTAGTATTTAAACTTAAAAAATTTGCTCGATGCTTTTCATGTTGTTGTTTGGTATTTAATAATTGAATTGGTTTTATTGAATAAATAAATGCCATTTCTTTTCTCATCCAAAGGTATATATTCATGAGTTATTAACATTTTTTTTCTGTTGAAATTGCATGACTTGCCCCCTGCTGCTTCGAGTGTTCACTAAGGTGTGTATGCGCTTTGGATGCCCTGTAAACATCAACGTTACAGAATACTTAAAATCTTTCATTTTTTTTGCTTGATATTGCCATTTACATGCTCTTTATGCTGGATTCTGACGCTATAGTTTGAACAACTTAAGGAATTCCTAAAATCTAAGCTCACAAATAAGTTCAAAATGGCCCAGTAACCATTGGTTTGATGATCTTTTTGGTTTGGCCTAGAAAAGCACGTGCTGTATTATCAAATTCAATGCTGGCACTTGAGTTTATGTTGCTTGTTGGGTCATCCTCGGTTGCCTAACTTTCTAATATTGGTGTCATGGTGGTGATGTTGTCGATGAGGGAAATAATGGTCAAAATACCATCGGTATGGGTCCATGTCAACCTATCGCACCCCTTTTGAGCTTTAAACCGGTATGCAGACTGGCCCTTACTTACTGGGCAGTACTAGATCGTGCCGAGCGGGGACCAATCGTCTAGTTTCTCTGTTCAGTAGGCCTCCCATGCCTGGCAGGAAGCATATTGCTTGGCACCCATATCCACACGTGCTGAAGTAGCTGCGGCCACTTTCAGTTTCTGACTTTTATCCAAATAGCACTCCTTCAGTCCTCACTCTCACTTTTAGAACAGCTAGTTTTCTCATCTAATAAGGTAAACCAAAGCTTATTCTTGGTCCTTTGTTTTTTTCTATTTATTTATTTATTTATTATTATTGTTGCTTATTTGACTACTGAGTGCCTCGGTACATGCTTTGTGTCTGTGCTTATTGGTGTAGAGTCATGCTTAGTTGTTTACTTTTTGGAGATATTTGCATCCTTTTCTTCCATTTCTCGTTCAAATACCACCAGTTCTATACTAATATATCTAGATTTACTTGAATTTAGGTCTAGCTTAGATGTACGCAGAGTAAAGTGATTTGATTGCTTAGGTCGTGGATCCAAGTTGGATATGCCTATGCTTAATCTAAGGTAGTTTAGATTTGATCCGACTTGGCTTAGATTCAAGTAGCCGCAGGCTAGATCCAGTTCAGGACCATGGAGATCTAGGTTTGAACCTTGTGGATCTGGTCAAAACTTTGTAGATATATAACCACGTTAAGCAACCAAGAGGTGTTGATTTAGGCAATGTATCTTTTTAGATGCTGATTAGTAATGTATTTAACATGTTCTTATAATATGTTTTAAGTTCTGTGAGCCACTTTCTCCTATTTTCTATTTTATCGTTTCGATAGAAGATAAGATGAGAAAAATTTATTTAAGGATGGTAGAAAAATTTATTTAAGGATGGTACGATCATATACTTTGAAAACCTTCGAATGTAATAATAAAAAATAATTAATTTTAATATAAATTATAAATAAGTATTTAAGTACTTTATACTTAATTTTTTATTCATCTCAATAGTTGGTCTTAAATAGTTGGGACTTTTACCGTTGTCATTTTTGTAACTGATTTTAGGCAAAGCCTTATAGTGGGTGCAACTTGAAATACTTATTATTATTCTTTATTTTTTGAATTTTTTTTAAATCCAAAACCATGGCTAACAAACACATTACCAGTTTATCTGAAAGCTTTAAACTGTCACATCTATCGGTTTATATGTTAACTAACACGTTATGAGCCACAATTGCTAGCCTAACCAAAAATATCTTCCAACCAATAAAAACCATCGGTTATGGCATTGATAGATTGGTGGTCACCATCCTGTGGGATGGAAGGATGTTCAGATTTACACGTGGAAAGATGCTGCACTTCTCGAGAACTTACTGCTCCCGCGTGCGACCATTTGCTTTTGTGTATGCTTGGCAAGAATGATCGTTTTGTGGCAAGATACATAATGCTAGTCTCTGCATCATCCAATCATCCCTGCAAAAAGCTACGGAAAGTGCACATTGTGCCTATATTACACATCCTATAATATTCTTCCAAGAAAACGAACGAGCCTAAAGAGAAGAAAAAAAAAAAAAGCAAAGAAAAACGGAGCTATTTCTTTAGATGAATTCTATTAACAAACACCGAAGAGATAATGCTGACAAAATTAATACCCGGTGATGTTATGGCGAAAGAATGCTTGCGGCTAAAGAATCACCCCGTAGGGACGATGAACTACGTCTTCAATTTCACCAATTGATGTTGGTAATACTCTTCACTAAAAAGCATGCCACGAGGGGAAAGAAGCCGCTGTAAAGCAAGTGAAAAGCGGGCCTATGCCCCCACACATCATCCCAACAAAAAAGAAAACACTCCAATATCAGCATGGATCTTTCAACGCATGCAAGATTTAGAGAGAGAGAGAGAGAGTACCCATTGAAATCCAACAAGGGCCCACCAGCAGCCTGGGAGACCAAAACCTTTACTGCAGACGAGCTGACGCAATAGAACGCAACAACAGAAGCACCGTGACGACGAGGGTAATACAAGCAAAGACATTTTTTAAATGTCCTCTTACCGACAAGAGAAGTCCAGCCACACAAAAACAAGCAATCATTGACAGACTAAAAAACCTAAGATCTCTGCCAGCCTGCATGTGCAACACACAAAGCAAAAGCCTTGGTTAATCCCTGACGCAGCACACGAATGTCCCATATTTTTGTTTCCTATGTTTTTAACAGAATCAACATCTTTAGGTCTCAAGAATGACTACACAATGATAAATATGATTAACAGAATAATGAGCATGTGAGGGAATTAGTACTCAACCAGAATTTCTGTTTCTGGTTGCAAAAGACTTGGGATGAATAAATCTCAAATAAAAAAAAAACTGACAAGGCACAAATGCAAAGAATGAAACAGACATCCATTAATATAGCATACCAGCAATGTTCCTTCAAGACTAAGCGTTGAAGGTGTCACCATCAATGCAATGAAGTAAGGAAGCAGGACCTTGTGCATCTGTTTAGTTTAGCAAGAGTTAGTCTAGTAATACTTTGGGCGGACAAGTTCACTAAATCAATCAGTCAATTTAGACATACATAAATGGATGAGCATTTGTCCATATATACAACAAGTTTATGCAAAATTGCAGATAGCTACTAGTATAAAACATAGAAAATGAACTTGTTAGCCAATAAATAATTTATGCAAAATTGGATAGCTTTTAGAATGAATATATGCCAATAGAGAATGATATTGTACTAATACAATGGATTCTGGAAGAAAAAGTATCGACCAACCTCCCCAATGACCACATTGTCAGTTGTGAAAATGTAAGGAAAAAGCCATGGGATAGATGTTCCAACAGCTCCTATGGTCAGTCCACCTATAGCTCCAATCACCACAAGTGATTTCTGTAACATGCGTGCCTAGATTGACAGTTAAAACTCAGTAAAGCACCAAAACAAAAGAACCATATACAAAACAAAATTGAGCAAAGCAAATATACAATAAAGAAAGATGTCTACAATTCATCATGTTGTACCCCTCAAAATTTCACTGTGAATGGTGATGCACAAACATTTCAAGATAGAAGGAATTCGGTTCCAATTGATCTTTGCAATATAATGATCCTATAAAGGAAAAGAAAAACTCATTGAGGAAGTTTATACTAGATGTTTTTCAAAATTTGGTTCCTCACAGTCCAATTTTATACAAAATTCCACTATATGTTTTTCTTTCACTTGGAAAAACAAAATCAGAAAGGAAGATGCAATCGTTCTGCATCAAGTTCAAATTTATCAGGTAGATGAATGCTCAGAAATAAAGAGGACCTCGAGAAGTCTAAAGCTCGAAATCAAGTGTAGGACCCCTGTAACCTTCTCCAACTACCATACAAAGAAAAATAACATCATATCTAAGGTATGAATGTAGCTTTTAGAACATCTGCATGATACAGAAGAGCACCATGCCACTACTAGCACATCTTATATAACAGAATTGAATCTTGATCATCAGTCTCACAAAGAGTACTTGATCATCACATAGAAGCACCAGTATAGCACTAACACAGAAAATGGACCATCTGCCTCCTTGAGTTTCAAGAAAATGAAAACCATTTTGCAGAAATTACGCTTAAATGAACTAGCATTTTGCAGAAATTATTGGTGACTTGAATAACAATAATGTTGCAGGTAATATATAAAATCTTCCTTAGATATAAAACATGTAGTGGAATGCAACATGAATAACCATCAGAACACTATAAATTTCACATGAAAAAACTATTGAAGCATCAGATTTTTGGACCTTCTCTAAACTGCGATTAACTCCATGCATCAATTCTGGCATAAAAGACTGTGCAGTTTGTGAGAGGGGTTCACCAAAAACTGTGCACATGAAGAAGACGTTAATCATAACCTGCATTAAACACAATAAAGTTAGGCAAAGAAATGTAGAGAATGTTCAAATAAACAAAACAATGAAATCTGCTTAAGAAGAAACAGTCAAGTAAAAAGACCTGATGGGCTGCTATGGTTATTGTCCCCATTGATGTAGCAGAATAGGTGAGCAGGGAATAGAATGCAACCTGAAAATATGACACTCAACTATAATGCCATATCTTATAAGTGAACACAATGATCTCGACTCAGACCTTCGATGTCATTGTCATGAATACTGGAGCAGCAATACCCAATATTTGGAGGAAATCTCTGAGTGAAGGAATGGATACTGACAATGCACTAAAACCTGACTTTCTAAGGGTTTCCATCATCATAAAAGCAGCAACAACCTGGTAGTTCACAACAATAATTCCTAATAAAAGAAGGTGCACAAATACAGACAGAGGAATTTGGAGAAATTTGAACAAAAAAAATCATTTTCCAATTAAGTGCATGAGAAAGAAAAGTGGCTATTTCAACCTTCATAACTATCAACTTGTTGATGCAATTTGCAAATTCAGGTTCCCCTGTTCAAAGGTCATTTTGTAACTGCCCCTGGCACCTTATTTCTTTCAATGGGGAGTAGATTGATTATGCTGAATCCTAATGATACAAGTACTTTTCTTTTTTTTCTTAATTAATGACATTGGATTTACTCAATGGGGGGTAGATTGATTATTTCTTTGCTTTCAAAATAAGGGGTCTTGACAACTTTGGCATGTATTGGAAAACCAACAAATTCACGCTAACCTGGCCAATTCTTATGGTTAGGTCTGTAAAAAACTGACCAGGTTAACCAGTCCTAGCTCTTTTTCTTCCTTATTTGATCCTTAATCTCAAAACTAGAGCCTATTCTCGGTTTCCCATTCTCACCAATCGGTCCAGTTCTAATAAATATCCTCTAGATCAAGGAGCAACTCCTAGGGACGAAGATCTCGCACGTCCACAAATCTTATATGGATGATAGAACCAAACCAATGGAGTGTTCTCATACCATTAATACATACATGATGTGTGAAAAGAAATATTGATTTATGGCCCGATTACAATCTCTTTCCATCTTTGTGTAGACTCAATTATATCATTGCATCATTTACTTATTCTTTCCTTGTTCTAAGGAGATAACCTTTCATATCTAATTCTTAGAAGAATCTTCTTTTTTTGACAGCATTTCCAATTAATAAACTTTAATCTTCGTAAAATGAGAAACTTCTTTGTAAAAGAAAAGTAACCAATTAATATTTGCAATATTCAACCAAACCAAAATTTAATGTCTTCCAATTTTCTCTATCATTTTTTCCCTTATCTGCTCCATGAGATATTTTAGAAACTAAAGGAAAAATATTGGAGATATTGTCATCTGACAACTTATGACATTGGAAAAATACACTTTAATCTAATAAAATTTATTCAAATGATAGTTATATTAAAATGGTCCCCTCATGACTATTGTGGGGACTAGTACTGGACATTTTATCCATGAAGGCCCACAAATATATTGGAAGACCACCTTGTTCATGTGCAATGCATTGATATTAAAAAGGTTGGAAAAAGTGTAACAGGGTTGGACTAGCGAGGAAGTTATTCTCTTCTCATTCTCCCAGCTTTTTGAAGGTTCCACCTTTTCAGATGATTCTGTTTTAAAGTAACCAAGATATTTTGGTAAAAATGGCCAAAACACCATTTCTTCTATCCAATGCAAACTAGGCCATTTCTAAGTTTTGCCTTGGAGCCTCTTGAAATGACATGAAATGATCAAGTTAGACTAGACTTTCAATCAAGACTTCAAATAATTTTTGAATAATAGGACACGCTTTGATATGGGTTTAGATTCTATTCTAGTTGGACATAGATCAATATTTATGGGCACAAGTTTTGAGATGTTAGTAACTTCAGATGGCTTGGATAAAAAGATGCTATAAGGTTAGGACCATCCACTTATGAATTAGGGTTAGCCATATAGTGTTCGGCAATCTTTATATAGTGATTTCATAAGACCACAAAAAATCCAATAATGGGCTCAAAACTAGTATCAAAGGTTGCTAGCCAAGCAAATTGAACCTGGGAGCTCAGAAATATAATCTGATGGCACCCTTACTCAGTAATAAGGCCAATACAACCCTTCACTTATCCAAACTAATATGGAGTCAGAGCAGAATCATATTACCAAATAAGGAGACCATTTTAATGAATTCCTTAGATGCATTTTTGTTTCTTCAATATCTTATAAAACTAGTTTATGCAGTGTTAATGTTTACATATAGTTGCATGCTAGACCTAACTTCAATAACTACATAATCATACCTGTGACAACATTGTTGCCCAAGCAGCTCCAGCGATACCATACCCACAAACACAACAAAGGAAAATCACACCAAAACCGTTTACTGCACTAGCAACTGCCAAAGCCTTTAAAGGTCCCCATGAATCTTTCATTCCCAAACTGTAATCACAGCATGTGTAGAGCATATAAGAGTTTGAGAAGCAACGAATGCTTGTAGCAATAAATTTAAGCAGTAATGTCATTAACAATCTAATAATCATCTTTCCTCATCTAACACCAGGTTTCCTCAGTACATGCTATTATGTGGCAATGCATATTTCACTTTTTTAGTGGAAAAAACCTCCTAGATTCAAGAGGTTTATTTCCTTCCATCTGCAAACAACTTCCCAGTATACTGTGCAAAAGCATGTGCCAGTGCCTGGGTATTGATCAAAACAAATTCAAATGTGATGAACAAGAGAAAGCTGCACTAAAGCTCATCATGTGAAGAATTACAGTTTAATAATGATATAAGTAGCAATTTTTACATCAGATTATTATGGTTCTTTCTTCATAAGGTGTAAATGATTTGATGCCTAATTTACATCTCAAACAAGTTGTATCCCTTTGTTATTCATATGTACTTTCATACAGACCTCTGATGTACTGTGTCATTCATCATCGGACACCGTCCAAGCACATGCCAATGGGCATAGCAGCAAAAGTGAAGTTATGAAAGTGAATTTCCCAGTATGTGCTGGATGACACAAGTAGATGGATGATGCATGGCTCACTATGCTGATTTACCAGTATCTTCACCACCTACTAGGTGGGCATAGAGGAGAAAGGTATGACTCATGACTATAAGAGAATATATTAAGCTAGAGCAATTTAGCAACCAATTCATCAAGTTAAATTGATGACAAAAAAAAGAATTTGAATCAAGAAGAGCCAATTATCCCAATGATTCTTTTTAATATTTTCCTAACATATACAATATTTTTGTTAACAATGACTGGAAATTTGATTGTGTTCCAAAAGGCGAGGTTTAAAATATTCAGGGTGAATCTTTTGTAAGTGAGAAGTGCAAATAAGACTTGGTTTGTTATGGAGGCATCATGAACCAACATGTTTCTAGCAGTAACATGGCCTACAAAATAATAATCAAAATACAATGTCCAAGAGTGATACCTAGCACTCTGAGCAACCATGCCAACAAGAACTGCAGGCCATGCAAAGCTTCTAATCTAACAAAAATCAACTCAGGATATTAATGCATAAGACTTATCAAGTAATAACAAAATAGTTTAGCTTCAAAAAGTGTTCATAGAGCACAGAGCACAATTATCTTCGACATTAATTTGTTAAAGATATTTTGGTCAAGAAGTGTGGTATAACAACATTTTATTATAAACAAAAAGAAATTTTATAATGCATACCTGACATATCTAAAAATTTAAGCCCATATTATAATTTAAGAAACACTGACCTTTAGAAGCACCTTTCATAAGAGTTTTGTAAGTATATCATATCATACCAAAAAAAAAAAGATACTAGTAACACAATTCTCACACAAAACTTGTGCACAATACAATTAGTCAAAACATATTATTGAACCTAATTATTTGACACTAATTTTGCAAGGTAACTACAATATGGAGGATACGTATTTTAAGGAAAATTTCAATGCACATTTATGACAAACTACAACATCTAGTGGTTTCATAGATAATTGGTCTACCTTCTCTTTGGTATACAAAAAAGTTCATGACCACCTAACATACAAATGCTTGAAGAACCTAGTTGATGTCTATATTATAGCATGCTTGCCAAACTTACTTTCTTACCTAGGACTGTAAGAGAATATTTAAACTTAGATCACAGGATCATAAGATCCCACAATCTAATCAAAATTAACTTTTAAAAATATACTTACAAAAAAATATATATTTATTTAAGGTATAAAAAGATTGTATTCTCTTTTAATAATAATAAAGTGAATATATAATTGAGCAATAGAATTTCTTATGTGGATAAATAATATTTTTTTATGTTTTGTGTTATATTCTTCTTTTCAGGTTAAGGACAATAATTCATCGAACCAAATTAAATCAACTCAAGAAAGATACTTATTTCCAACAACAATCGTTCTACTGTAATATTTTGAGATATGATTGTCAGTGATTCTATAAAAAGTATATAATCCATAATTGAAAAACCATTGAATTATCAATATCATGGATTTTGAGTTTCTTTTAACTTGTGGATGTAACATAGCTGCATGCTAACATCCTTTCTTTTAAAATTGTTGCATGTTGACTGATATTTGCAACCTTTGAGACTTTGAGTAGATACTATTTAGATACACGACAAATTGACACTACCAAAATAGGCATGATCATGCTCATGAGAGATGCATGTAGCACAACCAACTGGGTTCAAATATAGGTTCCATGTGTGTATCAAAGAAGAGAAAGAAATGTTAGACATAATGTTGATGACATCAATTAACTAAACATTTTCAAAGTAGAATAATGGCAACGATACAGAGTAACAAAGTAAAAGTAGTTCTACAATATTAGGTGTGTGCATGGCCTGGATTGGTCCAATTTCTAGATGAAAACAAAGCAAAGCGACAACTTGTGACTTGATAACTGTTCATACCAAACCAAATTGCTTCATCATATAAACCAAATCAACCCAAACCCCATGTTCCAGATCCTAATGTGGATCTTAAGCTCAATTGAATTTAATCATAGATCAAAAGTTCTAATTTTATTGCCATATTCGTTGGAAGACCACAGGAGAAAGAGGAATCAAGACTTTGCTTGAGTAAATTGGCTTTAGTGTTTTAATTGAAGTACCATGACATATCATGATATTTGTCTTAAATTACAATTTACAGCTTGATTTAATAGACAATGGAAACCAAACCAAATCACTAAATCATTTTTTTCATATTTTCAAATCAAGTCATATTGTTAAAACATTAAACAAAACTGAAATTTCAAACGCTATTTGATTTGGTTTGGTCTGATCAAAATAATATACACACTCATATATAGCCTCCAAGAAATATGTCAAATTTGTGCTTCAAGTTAGTAAACCATCCCGAAGTTATTAGGATCTACCCTTTCTCTATATTACACTGTAAAATAGAAGTTTGACAGAAAGTATCTGCACCTGAATATATGAATTGGCAGCAGGAACAAGGTGTAAATTCTCTGATCCAACAAAAGCTGAAAATGAGAAGAAACATTGAAAATGATTGGTTAAACATGTTTTTATCATCAAGTCGTGATGCCTTGACAAATAACTAAGGATCTGTCTGATAATTAAAAAAAAACCATGTGGAGACAAAAAAAGAGACTAATAACAGAACAAACAAAAAAGGTTAGGCAAATATACAAAGTTAGAAAAGGACACAAATGTTCTAACATGACAATCACAAGTTATGGAAAGTATGGGACTGGATAATGTTCCTTTTCTTCTGGTGCACAATGAGGTTGTATCTTATTAAGTCTTCTCTATCAAAGGGCAATACATTCATCAAATGCATATTCTGTAGCCCCTTACATAAGCAGCTCTAGAAATCTGAATGTAATAGCGACAAACTGACATTATTCTCTAATTTGCACTTTCATTATGTGTGTTAAATGTTTTCCATCAGCATATAACTTTCATATTCTTTAAACCAAATCAGGATGTAAGATACCTTGTGCGTATGGGATGATTTTCTTCATCCTGAAAAACCAAAATATATTTTTTTACACTGCACATAAGCATAGAGCATTCATTTTCTTTAAACCACCAATAAGGTTCAACTAAGGCACTATTGATTGATTACTACATGCCGAATAGCTATGCATGGAACTTTTCATATGGCTATCCGCTAAAACAATTTTTTATTAGGGACAGAGATGACAAAGCTGCACTGTTCACTCTTGCATTGGCTATTTATTTCCCAGCTAATCTGTAGATTAATGCAGTAATTTTGTTTCAATTGGTTCCTTCAAATATTACGCCAATTTGTCCCTCAAACAACCAAATCCACAGAACCTGATGCTATATTAAACTAAGAGATATAATTAAACAACATCTACAACAACTTATAACTCTGCAAGTCCTTACGCTTACCAGATAGTATTTGTGTGCCCAGCAATCTTGTGAACAAAAGCATTCCCAGCCCGCAAGCAAAAGCAACAAACAGTAACATGGATATCTGATGCTGCACTAACCTTTTATCCTGCGACAGTAATCTCCTATTAGTGAGTACAACTGTAAGGCAATAGGAAAGGTGAACAAAAATCAATTATGGTGATTTCTATGTTGTTTATTTACTTATTATATCAGACCTTAAGTTCATGATATTCCAGAAATGTCAATATTTCAACATAACTTTAATAACACATCATTGAAAACAGCAAGTTCAAGAAAACACTTCATCTAAATCAGTCAGGCGACAGAGAACTAGACTTTTACCTTCTTAGCAAGTGAAGTGGCAACCATGTTGGAAGTTGCAATCGACAGAAACATGAAGACGTAGCAAAGGTAATCGCAAAAGACCGTTCCCGGACCTAACCACAAATGTTACCACGATTAAGAACCACAGAAGAAAACCCAACTAAGAAACCCCCAAGAAATGCAGGTATCCCTAATCACAGCCACCATCCCACGATCAAGAACCACATAAAGAAACTCATCCAGGAAACTCTCAAGAAATGCAAGTACCCCTAGCCACAGCCACCAATCCACAACCAAGAAACCCGTCCAATAAATCGTCAAGAAAGGGAGTTATTACCCAAGGCGGCGAGCTCCAAGGAGCTCCCCTGGCCGATGACCATGGTATCGATGAGGCTCATCAGCGGGCCGCAAATCCAGAGCCCCGACGCCGGCCCCGCGAACACGGCGATTTCCTTTATCTGCTTCCAAATGCTCGGCGACTCCGAACCCGCCCCATCCGAACGGAGAACCGACACCACGGAACCGTCGGACTCATCGATTCCGCCGGCGGCGACGGGGGTATCGTCAGCGTGCTCAGCAGCCCCGGGATCGCTTCTTGCGGCAGCGGGGCGCGGTGGTAGAAGGCGAGCATGGGTCCGGATTCGGATTCTCGGGGTAGCGAGGAGGGCGAGAGGAGAGGGGAGAGCGAGGCGGCGATGGGGGAAATGGGGGCGAGAGGGGGAGTAGGTGGGAGCGGGCGAGCGAGAGGTCAAGAGGAGGAGGTCCATCGAACTTGGAGGGAAGGTGGAGCTGCGGATGGTTTGTTGGAACTGAGATCGTAACCGTTGCGCGTACTTGTGAGCGTCGGGTTCGGATTCCACGGGGCATTTCACCATAAAAGAAGGTGGCTTCGCGTACGGCATGGCGCGTAGTTGTTGGGTCGAGCCTTCACCAGGAAATTATTATTTGTGGCGAGCTTTTATTAAGGGAAATATATAATTTAGCACTATTCATTTTCTTTTTCTCTTATTTTTTTATGCCTAAAGGAATATTCTGTGTCACTGCGAGTGTTATAAACCCTCAGCTTTAGAATATAGGCAATAATGAATAAATAAATAAAATAATAAAAACATATATTTTAAGAAAACTAAGCCAAAAGGGCATTGTGAAGGAATTATCATAGCAATACACCAATTCAAAAGACATCTATATGTTCTTACCAGTTCAAAGAGCTTATTATGAAGAGAGATAATATATCTAATTTTAAATATCTATGCAAGTTTTCAATTTCTTTGTGTTTTTCAGATGAGGAAACTACAAAAGAGAACTCTAGAAAATTTCTAAAAATTAAAATAGACCTGAATAATTGGTGTATATACATACATGATTATTTCTAAGTGATTGTCCATGCAATATACATGATTATTATCCAAATTTCTGATTTTAGATTCTGAAGAATCATACATATATAAGAAGGGAGACAGCCTGAACTCTTTTGACATGATAATGATGACATAACCATGATAGTTACTCATGCTGCAATAGTTGCAATCTACTTTCTTACCCATAGATCTTTTCTCACAGAGTCAACAATTGTTCACATCCAGATAGTTTATACAAGGCTTGCATGAAAGAAAGCCAGGAATTGTAGGCCCAAATTGGAACTATTGACTGTTGTATGTACTGCTGCTATTTAAGTCACATTTTGTCACACATTCGCAGAAATAAAAAAAAGGAGTTGGGGAAAGAATCAGATGGATAATAACACACCTGAGTTCAAAGATTGTGAGTGATATGATACATATACCAAGGACGTGAGATTTGTTGAGCAACAGCTACAGCATTAAGTATCAGCAAACAACAAAATTATGCTTGCGGTTGATGATAAATGTTGATTGTGTAACTCAAAGCTTCAAAGAATAGGTCACAACAAAATGGTCCAACTGTCCATGGGTCACCTGATCAAGGCTCTCTCATGATGGCCTCAAGAGCATCTTTGACATAGGGATATTTATATGAGAAGCCTAATTCCTTTGCCTTGAGTGGAAGCACTTTTTGTCCTTCCAAAACCTGCAATTAGTAGAACCCCCAAATCTTGTAATCAATGAGACACACACGAACAAGGGACACAACAAGCGAGAGGAGTATGAATACTTACGACCGAGGCACCGTCACCCAGGACTGCTTTGAGTGCAAACTCTGGTACAGGCAGCCAAGAAGGGCGGCCAACAACTTGCCCCAGTTGTTCACACATTTCTGACAACCGGACCGGATTTGGTGCAGTTCCATTAATTACGCCTGTAGTTTCAAAGGCAAATGCATGAACATGTCGGTCTATCTTTGCCTTTTGCCCTACTTACAAGCCATATTATTCTCAAATACCAGTCAGTACATTGGATGACACCAATTGGTATTTACCAGTCCAAGAAAGAACTTGTATCAGACTGGTCTATTGCCAGTTGGTATTTAGTTTTCCAATATTTGAAATCAGATGGTACGGGTTGATATGCTTTCTGATACACCAGTATCATACCAGTCCAATAAATTATTGAAACTATCATTGGATTGAGATTTAAAACCTTGGAATTAATCACTAACTAGCAATATAAAGATCTCATACAATTTACTGTATCATATCTGAAAGCAAATGCACTATGAAAAAAAGAAGCAACCGCTACAGCAAGGCCATCCACTTGAGACTATTTTCTATTGTTGGTTGCAACCACATAACATCAGGTGTCCTTGTTGCACTGATATAGTTTACTTGATGATAATTGGAATATAATTCATTGTCACATAATAAAATAATATATAATTGGTAATGACTTTTGGAATTTACATTTTGAATCTGTCTCGCATAAGAAAATGGACAGTTTCAATTATCACACCATTCAGGAATCAATAGCTGAGGATTGTAATGTGAGGTAAAAATGAAAGATAGCTAGACACTTGTGGCATTTGTCAATCTTATATAACCTAAATCTGCATAGTTCAAGCATTTCAGAAAACGGTATGTGCTGAAAAGCTCTAAACAGAGTTGGTACATGCTGAAAAAAGATCTATATATTCCTTGGGTATCAGACACTAATAGTGTACGTAAAACTGGTAAAAAATGTCGCCTAACATTCCATTCTTAGAAAGGTAATAAACGTGAACCATCATATATAAGATGATGTTAGTATTCAATTTTGAGTTAAACTAACCTTAGTGATATATTTTTAAGGTGATACATAATTAACTTTTAACTGATACAAGCAATTTGTTTTTTGTTATGTTTTTTGACTTTATAATAAGAGCATTGGAATACAGATATGTCACATGCAATGAGTTAATAACAAATTCAAAAGTAAATCAGGATAAATTTTCATCAAGTTATTCAGACAAGATACAGATTTGGTGCCTTCGGAAGGATTTTTAGAAAAAGAGATAATGACTTGCTTTTTCCAACCAAGAAAATGTTGTTTTATGCTTGTTTTGATGGTCAAGGTGCTACCTTTGTAGGAAGGATTTCTTACAGCTTCATATATGAGGTTCACCACATCATCCAGATGAATCCAAGAAAACCTTCAAATACATGATGCATTCTCCAATAAGAAATCAAGAGGCAAAACTTGCAATTCATGGTATCAGAAGACTCTCCATTAGACCATAAAAGGGAAAATTTGTGATATGAAAAGTTCTACAAATATTTTCTTATGTGATATTTACTGAATAAAGGAAAAATAATATTGTAGAAAATCTACAATGTTGCTTTGCAGGTAACTTGCAGTAACAATCCAGATCAAACACTCATATGCTTGCTATTTATAGTGGCTAATTATTTGGAACAGCAAGAAATTTTTGCTCTTTTGGTTTCACTAATAATTTGTCTACTCAAATGCAGTAAGCATCAGACACCATTTTTCTCTGTTTAATATATGAAGTCTTTCAAAGTCATATACAAGGAACGATCTAGTTTGACTGCTAGATTCATGATAAAAGAAGCATGAATCCATGAAAAGTAAGATCTAGTTAATAAGCAAGTATACCATTGTCTTCCAGTACCCAAAGGTCCCCCAGCAAACATCATGAAGAGAGGGATCATTTTAGCTGCACCATGTTCAAAAGAGTAATGCATAGTTCAGTATAATTATGTTCAAAATCTGGATTATCATCTAAATGATTCAAACATTGAGTGTTAGGATATGCTACAATGGTCGAGCAGTATGGAACTACGAATAATAACAATATAATAAGATTTTTAAGTGCTAGCTTTTGCCTCACTAACAAGATTTCAAACCTGCAAAACAGAATCTTCAACATCAATCAAACAACTCCTGAAGCACAATGGTATGTCTTTATCTTGATAAATACCAAATTTCTAAATGATATAACAGTAAATGTGCCAAGGAAGCATATTTGGAGATAGACTGACAAGGAAGCTACTGGAGTCAAGCGTCAATTACAACTGATAGCAAATGGTCTTCCTGCTTCAAGCAAGAAGAAAAAGAGAAATGCACATTAAAACATCAAACAAGGAGATCAGTTTTTGCTGCTTATAAATGAAGAAAAATATGACTTGTTTTTGCTTCTTATAAGTGCAGAAAAATACAATCTAGGGACATTTGTTATTCTTCCTTTCCATCTAGATTCTTATTAAAACGAGACAAACTATATTTCTAAAAATGAACTTGCCTAGATCCAGGGATGCAAAAAGAAAAAGAAAATCTCAAGTACACCACAGGGATCCATGTATTGGCATGTTCATTCCAATAACATGGATGTATGCTATGAAAAGCGTTAGTGTAAAAGAAAAACACAATCATAAAGAAAACCCAAGATATCTATTACCATGAATAAATAATGAAATTCTTATAGTTATACTTGGAAAGTTAAAGAAGCACAGCATTTTCAGAGTCAAATTCCATGTAGAACAACTAACTAAATTCATATGAGTTGACAGTTTAAAAATCTCTTTCTTATGTTAACGCAACCTTACTAGTCTATTCTAGCTTCTATCGGATCCCTACTTGAAGTTGTAAAAAAGAATCCTTGCACAAATACTCCATTTTGTCATGTTCATTTTGAAGTTCGTGTCTGCAGCAGACATGATGACTGCTATCTTTGAACTACATATTCTTATGCAGAGTATAGAATGGCAATTAGTATCAACATTGGATCACTTGAATGTTAAAGAACTACAGTTATGTGATCTGTGAGGACATGTCCATTGAAAGAGCATACACTAAACCAACAAGATGCAACTTCCTACACAGATTCCTTCTAATGTAATTCAGGTACATCTTGGGATATTTGGTGCTCAATTCTGAGAGTCAACATGGTATAGTCAACTTGCAGACTGCAATTTAAAGATAGTAAGTTGAATAAAACATACACAAAGTGATCTAAAAGGACTGACTGAAATTGTTATGTTCAAAAGGAAGCAGGTGCCTGATTGAGAGCTAAGCTTGCAGATCCTAAAGGACTCCTTTGTATGTAAGCCTCTGTAGTAAAAAAGATTTGCTTAAACTTGCACAGATAGAGAACTTTAGCATTGAAGGAATGGAGCAGAAACTAGTCCTGTAGAAACCACAGCTAGATGATGAATAAATTGATGTTGGCTAATAGGTTAGTACCTTCAAAAAGCTAGTGCAAACAAATTGTGGGACACTGTTATATTAAAATAGAAAGTAAAAGATTAGTTGATGTGGTAAAAGGCATCTTGAAAAAGTATCATAATGAGGAAGAATAAATTGTTGATAAAAGAAACAGACCTAGGGCACCACCATCTTTTCCAAGAACAACACCAATACGGATGAGAGCCAATCTAACATCATTATCTACTTCAAGTGCTTTTGCTTCCCATTCTCTACAAACCTGAGAGCAATTGAAGCATAAGAAAAGGTCTTTGAGTTCAACACCACTAGGTGACATTTTTATACATAACAAGAAATTTTATTGCGCATAAGAAGCACATAAACTAAAAATAGATAATATAAATCTTATCCTTTATACTAATGCAGCAAGTAATAATATGTTTTGATGAAAATTTACAACACATTCCTCAAATAAGAAAAAAAACATCAAATGATGCAAGCAATTCTTTCCCATCCAAAATGGTTATCTTTTAAATAATTCAATCATCTATGTATACTCTGGGGTGACTCGTAAAGTTCACATTAATCCATTTTCCTACAAGATCTCCAGTCCCCAGTCTAAACTGGACTATATCATGAATTTAGTACTAAAATTAGAAGAGTAGAAATTCAAGATAAGATATAAATATAATCCACAAATGCACCAGATAATAAGCACTGCCTACACCACAAAAGAATTGTCACCTCTGACAGGTAGTCATTGCCAGAACGACTATTCTCATCAAAAACTAGAGTTTCACTTGTACCTGAAAGTATACAAAAAAGGGTCAGAAGCATACTTGAAAATTTGTGTTGTCTGCTGATAAAGTTTAAAGAAAATAATTCGGCAGTTACGAATTTATTATCATGAAACTAAGAAGATTGCAACTATTTAAAATAGTCATAAGCCAAACATGCAAGTACAACATAACTAAGTCACATATATTTATGTTAGGGTTGTAGCCTTGAGAAATGAAATGCACTGTTTACGATGCAATGAATATCTAGAGAAGATTTGCATGTGGTTGCACCCTGATGAAGAGATTACCCATAAGTATAATGCTCCTAGAAACAAATTACATCTTAGTAAATTATTGATCACATATGCCATGATTTAAAATTTTGGTATCAGACTCGCTGGCTGGATTGGTATGGGATCTTGTACATACTGACCCAAACATGCTACGCTAGCATGTTGACCGACACTTAGAAAGGGGGAGGAGGAGGAAAAGAAGAAGAGGAGGCGGCAAAGGAGAAGAAGAAAAAGAAGAACGGTAGAGGAGCAGACTGGGAGGAGGAGAGGTGGAGAAGCATCGAGCAGGTGTGAGCCCTAAGGCGTGGATCTGTAGACTTGACAAAGATTGTAAAATCATGAATCAGGTGACAACTCCTGGTCCACATGTTGGTTCAAGCCCAGACCAGTAACTACTGCCTGGTACATACCAGTCTGGACAAAATTAGAAGCATGATATATACAAAAGCATAAAGGGAGACATGGAAAATTGCAACAGTTGTCACATGCACAAACTCTTGCATCAAGACCTTTTCCTTCTGGTGCATGTATTTGCACTCCTCATATTGCAGGACTTGGTGCTTATTTAGGATTTATGGCTTACTGTTCAATGAGAAGGTCAATCGTATGACCTCAAAGCACATTTTCCATAAATAGTAGGGGCATGTAGCAAAATCAAATTGGAAATCTTCTATGCCCAGATCACTTCAATGTACAAGCAAAAGGGGAAGGTAGAACGGGCACATAAACAGTCATCAACATACCATAATAACCAATTGCTGTTGCACTGACCAAAACCGAAGGCCGAAGATCCAACTTTGCATTGTTTATTATATCTACAACCTTTATCAAATCAATTACAGTATTCAGATCAACAATCAATCTAAAGGAGAGAAAAATTAATAATTGACAACTCCTGAATTTATTTAAAACCATAGCAGCTCTAGAAGTAAACATGTTCTTGCAAAGTGAACATTTCTTAGATAAAGTAAAGAAGAAAGAACCTTTGAGGTTGCATTTATACGGCTTCGCTTGATCTCTTTCTTGATCTGTATACAGTAAACAAAAAGTTGTAAACACAAGCACCATGTATTGAGATGCAGTTAATTAGAAAAGGTTGATAATTACCTAAACTAATATTGAAAAGAAAAATTGAACTCTATGAAAGAGCGTACCTAGTGCATGAGGTTCTGGCCAATGCGAGGTCTGGGGAGGGCCAATGTATGCAGCCTTACTTTTAAATATTTAAAGTTGTCATTTCCATGACATAAACCCTAGTCTCCCAGGTTACAAAGGAGCAACCTTACCGTTGTACCAAGGCTTACCCTCCTTAAGGGCATACCCAATGCACGAGGCTCCCGCCAACGTGGGGTCTAGAGAGGGTCAATGTCAAATATAGAATTTTCCTTGGCAATCAAAGAACACTCATACTATTATACACATTTTTTATGTGAAAATGGTCGAAAAATGCCTCTAGTTTTGATGCTTCCTTTTCTATATTTCTTTTAAAAAATTATGTTTCGTTGGTTCTCAGATACAAAGTACCCTTTTGTGCTTTGCATACAATATTAAAGATTCAATCGATATGTTATAGTTATACAATATTATCAAATATTGAACAATAAGCACTAATTGCAATTTATGCATTACAGACACTAGTTTTTAACATGTCTATGCATTTGAAATATGAGATAGATATATGGTAGAAGATATTCATGTTAGAATAATGAAAATAAAAAAGAAAAGGTAAATTACTAACACCAACCAACCTCAGGTGACCATCTCGTACTTATGGGCATTCCAGCCAAGTTAACAACGGCATTTGAACCATTTATCGACTGTTCCCATTCTCTTTCCTCGGCAATTACAAGCTTAGGAAAGTTATCTGCTGCATTTATTAATAAATTAGTACAAATAAAGAGATTAATCTTATTTATCAAAACTACAATGTATAAAGAACATTTCCCAATTAGAATCACTAAGGTTAAATACTCGGTTGCAGTTTGAGGAAGTAGTTGAAGGTGAAATAATCATGCACAACTGTAACTGACTATATGGCTAGATCTCAATTTAATAGAGCCAAGTGTTTTTAGGAACTGGAAAGATCTAAAATAGTTATTTAAATTTTAAAGTTAATGTTCTTCCAAATAGCCCTTCACTGAAAAACAAAAAAGAAAGCATCCGATACAAGAAAGCACAAGTACATAAACCTTATAGGGAGAAAAATACAAAAAAATGAACAGTAAAATGCATGAAATATAAGAAACATAACACAAAATTGTACAAAGAAAAAAGGATCATGAAGTGATCTTAACCATCTATTGGAATTTTCACTACTTGGCCTCAAGATATCTCACATAAGAACAGTATTCCAAATAAGGATTGAGGTGGTTTATGTTTCAAAAGTGACTGACCTTCAATTGATTAAAGATGTCTTCATTCTTGCTAGTTGCTACCATGAAGATGTTTGCCTTCGGAAAATGTAGTCAATTTTGTACAAATTGGAAGAGTCTTTAAAGCCTTGAGGGATACTCTGAGTTAATTGTTTATGTTTCTACTTCAAGAAAGAGAATAATATGTTAAAAGAAAAATAAATATAGACTAACTCTTTAGGATTTAAGGCACATTATGAATGTGCTACTGCAAGCAACTAGGATTGTGGCAGAATTGATTGCATGTTTCTGTTCCACACAACAAAAAGATGCCTGATACGATTCCAACTGATGTCATCTTGAGTCAAGCATGGTTGCAGGTTGACACATTTATTGACTGGATTTAAAATGATCTGAAACTAATAACATATGCACTTTGTATCAACCCAATTTAACTCAAGTAAGGAAAAACAGTTGTTGGTAATCTTTCCAGGTAATTAACAATTCAGTTCGCTATTAGAACAATATTACAAGCTTAATGATGTAGTAGAGAACTGCTAAATGCTAATGACTAATATTATATAGTAGTGAATTCTCTGTATATACAAAAAAATTATAATCATGTTCTGCCTGCGTACTATGTTCAGCATTAATTAAAAGATACAGCGCATACATGAACTGTGAGTGTCAAGAACTATAACAACCAGAATCAAACCTAAAATCTGAATGGGCTGAGAGATTAGACAGATTAGGTGTATAATCAACCTGCTTGTACTTAGAGAAGTAAACTAAGGGCTTCCAATTTTATTTTTTTAATTAATAATTAATCTGAACTTTATCTATTTGTGTTTGGCTTTGTCAATATGGGTAACTTCAAAGTTTGAGAATATTCACATGATGTGAAAAACAAGTTTAGGTCCAATGCTAAGTACTTGAAAAGTCAAATTGGGCAAGAGAGTCCTTTTACCTATCTTGAACCTCACATGAGAGTTTGTTACAAGGATCTGCCATTACTCAAGTCATTGCAACTATATACTCATCCTTCAAGTGTAATGTATTAGGGAAACAAAAGGTAAAGACTCAACTGATATATAATTCATGTTGCTGTGAAATGTGAACCATTCATGGTGCTAATTTATCAAGGTCAAATTGAGTCACTTGAACAAACTATTTCCAGCATTTATCTCCCATAAGTAGAAAAACATCATAGTCAATGCGGGAGCATATTGCAGATTTTTAAATTATGCAAAGACAATCTTCATTACCTTCTTACCCGAAAAAACTAACTGTGCCTTTGCTCTCGATCGTGTCAAGACATGAACTTTGTGATTATCTGCACAAAAGATCAAAGTAATCGTATTGAAGCTTTATTAGTAAAAGAAAGTCATATTAAAATTCATGATAAAACTTTCGCAATCATACATCAAATGGCAAATATCTTGAAAGCTTTGCCATATGCAAATCCTTCATACAGCATGTTTTGTGAATGAGCCTAGAGAACATACTAATAAACCTACAACATTCATAAATGATTAAATATAAGAAAAAAAAACATACTTTTTTGTGTGAAAATTATTAGTAACATTAAACCATTTGGCTGTCTGCACCTAAAATCTTTTTAAGATGAAAATCTTTGATCATGTACATCACTATTGAGTGGGCTTATACTGAATCACACAAGTTGCAGCATCTAATTCCATTAAATATCATGGAAGATTATATATATATATATATATATATATATATATATATATATATATATATATATATATATATATATATATATATATATATATATATATATATAT